ACACGCACACACACACACACACACAGCTTTTGGTTTTGCAGGTACCCTGACCCTCAAAATGAAGGAGGCTGGAGAATCGGAGCAGGTGCTTTGGACCAGGACAGGGAGTGATGGTGCGGTTTGGCATCGAGAGTTCGCCACCATTTCCCCCAAGCCTGGTCAGAATTATCAGGTAAAGAATGACTGATGCGGCCTCTACCTTGCATGAAGAAAACCCCAGAGGCAGAGATTTGGAAGATCTGGAAAGCTGCTGCTCAGAAACATTCGGTTGGCCAAACCGTCTGACTCGGCCACCTCCTGCCCTTGAACCCACTGCCATGTCCCTTTGCTTTTTGGTGGCGTTGGGAAGGTTGCTCATGGGTAAGAACAGCCTTGTAATAGTCAGGATCCAGCTTTGGATTGGCTTGGCATGGCACCAGCCAGCTTCCAGGGCATCCTCTGTCCTCCCTGCAGCCTCAAAATAAATACCCCCCTTTCCATGCCAAGGAAGAGGAAAGCACAGCACAGCTCAAACAGATCAGGTCACTCTGGATGGGCAGCTTCCCTGGACTAGAACAGATTTCCCTGCACCCTTGAAAGTCTTCCTCGGATTCCAGTGGGCCCCAATTTTTCTTTATGCCATGAGGGCTAGAAACTTGGGTCTGAACAAGGGAGCCAAAATGCGGAATTCCACAGCCGGCCATTCTCAATCTCTCATGAGGCTTTTGCCACCTGTCCTGCAGGTGATCTTCGAGGCACTCCGGGATGGCTTTCTGGGGAGGATAGCGTTGGATGACATCACGGTGACGCCGGGGGCCTGCACAGCCCAGCAGCGCTGCTCCTTCGAGGCCGACGACTGCGGCTTCTCGGGCCCCGGGCAGCAAGAGTGGCAGCGGCAGAATGGCACTGGGGGCTGGGGCCCTCCCGTGGATCACACCATTGGCGAGCCAGAAGGTAGCCGAGAGCAGTGTGCAGGAGGCACCTCTTTTGCCCTTGGAGTGGGTGGGCCCTGAAAGGCGGGCCCCGGGGCTTCCGGGGAGACCTCGGACAAGTCGCTCCGTTTACTGTTGGGCCCCAGTGTTCTGGCTTGCATTGTGGGGGGTTTTCTCAACTAAAAGTAACCCCGAATCTGTCCAGCCTTTGCAGAGCTCTGGCCTCTTTCGGCCGGAGCCTGACAGCGAACACTTCCCCCAGGGCATTACGCGGTCGTCAGCACTAGTGCGGACAAACTGCCTCCCGGGCAGGTGGCCGTCCTGCGCACTCAGACCTTCCCACCTCTGCTTCGCACCCACTGTGTCACCTTTTGGTACTACCTAAGCAGCAGTGAACCAGGTAAGTGGAGTTTGGCCCGGGTGGTAATCGTGACCTCTGTGCTCTCAGCAAATCGGGGTGCGTGGCATGAGCCTGATTCACGAAGTCAGGGGCCCAAGATCTTGAGTCTTCCCTGCCCCCCGCAAGTAACGCTGCCGCTGCCATCCTCTGGCCTCATGGGCAGGCCCTGCGTTCCAGGTCTGCCCCTGCTCTGTTGGTTGCTCCCCTCAGGGTCCTTGATTGCCTACGTGGAGGAGGAAGAGGAGAGCGGAGAGCAAACGGGGATGCTCAGCCTGGACCCGGCACAGGAGGCAGCCTGGCGGTACGGCAGCTTCGTGGCGAAGGTCCAAGGGAGATGGCAGGTGGGCCCGGCGGCATTTCTGAATATGTGCTGGAGCCTATGTCTCTGGCTGGCAACGTTGGCAGAAGCGAAGGCTGGAACCGGGAACAGGGTCTCAGCTGCAGACGGAGGGTGCCGGCCGCGAGCCGTTCCACCCCTCTGTTACCCCCCTCGCCTCTTCCGTGGGCAGGTGGTCTTTGCGGTCGGAGGTGCCAGCGGGGGGCCTGCTTCTTACGTTGCCCTCGACGACCTCTCCGTGAAGGAAGGAGGCTGCTCTAAACCAGGTGACTGCCCAGAAGGCCACGGAGGAGGGCGCTGCTGTCGCTGCTTTGGATTCGTAACCCCGCTGTCCTCATTTTCTTAATTTTTAATAAGGGGAAAGGGAATATTATGGGCACTGGGGGGGCTCCATCTGGAAGCACACCAGATTGGGAAGGCTATAGTGTGGCCTCATTTCTACTTGGAAAAAGTCGTTGGGGCTTGCAATCCCTATATTCTGAATTCAAAAGGTTCGTGGAGGAGGGGACTCATCCCATGAGTTCGCAGGGGGCCTTGGCATCACCTCTAGGGAGGTGCTGGAGGTCTTCGTTCAGCCTTCTGTCTCGGGTCACCGCTTCCAAGATTCCCAGCCAGCTCCCCTTTTGGGGGTGGCTGATTGAGCTGAGGGGGGCCAAGATGGAGAGTCCCTGATGTTGGTGGGGCTCAGAGGGGACCAGAGACCAGAAGCAACCATGGTGTCCTCTTGGCCCAGGCTCCTGTGACTTTGAGTCAGGCCCCTGCGGGTGGAGCAAGCCCCACGGAAGCTGGTACAGCTGGGACTGGAAGGAAGCCACCACCCCATTGCGCTCCCCGTCCCCCAAGGAAGACCACACCCTCGGCACCAAAGCAGGTTAGTGCTCGATCCCTCGCTTGCACGAAAGGAGGCTGGGGCTGCCAGGAGACGTCCTCAAAGCAGCTCCGGGCCTGGCATCAGCCTCTGCCTGGCAGTTTAGGCTTGCCAAGCCCTCCTTTGCTTTTGACACTTGCTGAACCACTGGCACGCTTGCCAAGGAGGAGCTGATGGCTCCAGTCGGATGCAACAACTGCAGTTTGGCAGAAGTCAATCGGTCCTGCCTAGGTTTTGCGGATCTGATGTACTTTCTTGATTCATGGGTTATTAAATGATCCCACGGCGAGGAAGCGGAAGTCCTGAATGGTGCTCTTGGTCCCTTTGGCGGCTTAAGCTTCCCCACAAGAAGCTTGCAGGCCGGGCAGGCCCACGTTCCGGAGCGCTCCTCATGCGCATCACCATGGCCCAGTACGCAGGAGACCGAGAGGAAGGAGAACCCAGCCTCAGACTGTTTGATCGGTTCTGCAGAGGTATGCCCGGGCCTCCATGGTTCCTTCCTGCCGTTCCCCTTTCTCTCTGCAGGTCACTATGCCTACGTTGACGTGGCAGTGCTGGGCTTGGGGAAGAGCATGGCCCGCCTGGTGAGCGAACCCCTCGCACCCACCCTGGGCTCCTGCCTGACGTTCCACTACCACATGGACTTCCTTGGCCGTGGCTGTGAGTGAGCCCCCCCCCCCCCGATTGTGGTGTCCTGTTGCAGAGGCGGAGGCGGCACCGCTTAAAGTTCTCGGTCAGAGGAGGGAGACCACAAGCAGGGCTGGTTGGAAGGAAGTGCCGGGTCTTTGGCAGGGCAGGGAGGCACACTTTCTGACACACGCGTCAGAGACCTGGGTTCAGGTGCTCCTCTGCATTGCAGCTCCAGCAGAGCTCAGAGTGAAGTTGACTGGCACACAGGGGGAGAGGGCGATGTGGAGTGCCACGGGCCATCAGAGCCGGACCTGGGTGAACCAAACACTCCTGGTGACCAGCCTCGTGGAGTTCCAGGTGTGGCCACCTTACTCGTATGCTCCCTCCCTCCCTGTCGACCTCCTGCGGCGAGGAGTTCAGCAGGTTAATTACCCATCGTGCCCTCGCCCTTCTGAGCCTGAGCGCCACCCTCTCCTCTTCAGATTGTGCTGGAGGCCACCAGCGGAGCCTGGGCCAGCTCCGGAGTGATTGCGGTGGATGATGTGCGGTATGCAGCTGGGCTGGACTGCGCCTCTCCTCCGGGGGGCCAAGCAGCAGGTGAGGCGGGGTGCCCTCTGTCCAGAGAAGTCACAGCCGCAGGCGTTGGCAGAAAGGCTGAACGCTGGCGGAATCCCCACTGGTGCCACCCCGATCCCTGCTGGAAGAGGCTCTTGGCACCGTTTTCTGGCTTTGGCAGGGAGCAGCAGCCCCCCTCAAGGTCCAGTGGTTGGCATTGTGGTTGGCATCGTGAGCTCCGTCCTCCTGGCGCTGATCGGGGCCGCCGCGTGCTGCCTGTGGAAGCGGAGAGCGACTCGGGAGAGGATGGCGGAGGAGGAAGGCAGCGACCAGGGCTTCGACAACATCGCCTTCCGAGATGTAAGGCGGCCTGGGGTGCTGGTCCTCTGCCCGCTGCCTTCCAGCCTGGGCTTCCTTTACTGACATCCTTGCGGCTGGGCTGGGCTCCTTCCTTTTGACTGGCCCGTCGGGGCCTCCCTCCCGGGGCGAGTGACCGAGGAGGCTGTCTGGCAGCAGGCCGCCTTCTTCAAGCAGGCAGCCCGCGCGGCTTCCCCTCCCGCCCCTCTGTCGCCACCTGAGGCCAGCCGTCTCTTCCCTTGGCTTCCAGGACAGAATCATCCTCCCCGAGATGGCTCCCGACGCAGCATCGGCCTAGCGGCCCCCGCCCAGCCTCCCATCAGCCTCTGTTCCTCTGGGGAGGAAGCCCAGCACGACCCCCTCGGGCTCTAATAAAGAGAATGGAACCTGAGCTGAATCTGTCTCTTTTCTGAACTGGACAGCCGGACGTGTGAATGGCCTGTCTAGCGCTGCTCAGAAGGAATCATTCAACAGACAGCACAAGAAAACGG